TCCTCCACCACACCATTTCCACAACGGGTCGCTCTGCGCTTACGGCTTTGGTGCCAAGGCCTGTCGAGCAGGCAGGCCCCTCTGTGGTCATGGAGGAAACGGTAGAAATCATCAGAGCTGCAGTTGCTGAAGCCACTGCCCTTGGTGATATTCTCGTGCATGAGGCAGAAGTGCTTATGGTCACAGATGCAGGCCTGGTGGTCGTGCTGGATACCCAGGTTGTGCCCCAGCTCATGGGCCATAAGCGCCGCAAACAGCAGGACATCTTCATGAGGGAAGGCCTCCACAGCTGCTGCAAACCCGCCTGAACAGGCACCATGGAGAAACGCCTGGCCCTCGTTCTCTCCTGGGTGATGCCCGACGATCAAGTGTGCAACATCGTGCCTGAGCCGGCCCACGAGCTTCTCCTGTCTCCAGCGGTTGAAATCCCTCAGGGTAGCCTGCAGATCCACCGGGGCCTCGATCGGGTCCCCCTCTGTCCAGATTTCCATCCCCACCAGCACCACCTCTGTGTTTAGTCCCCTAGTGAAGCTGTTGGTCAGAGCAATGATGTCCACTACTGCCCCGACCGTCTCGTTGACACTGCTGCCCCACATCTGAAAGCGCTGGTGGTTGACCACGACAAACATCTCCACATACTTGGTGTGTGACCTCAAATCAGACAGTTCCCATGGGTCATCGGGCTTCCCGTTCCTTTGTTGCTGGCTGGTGTCCCCTGAACTGCCTTTGGGAGTGACGCTGCAGGAGGCTTGAGGCTGAAGGCCCACGGTGTACAGAATGTGTTCAAACCCTTTGGAAGAGAGAATAGGCTCGATGCTGTAGGATGTGTCCTCCTTAATCAGGATGCCCCTGAGGCCGGAACAGATGTTGACAGAAACAAAAGAGCCTGGTACCCCTTCCATGTAGCCTTCATAGTGGCAGTCCTGAGAGAGGAGAGGCATTTCTTGCTCCAGGATGCCATTGTGGTAACTGTAGACTGGGAAGTTATTCACAGAGTAGTCTCCCTTTACCTTTAGGTGAAGCAGCTGCTGCTGGCCCTGTATCAACAGCATGTAGGACACCCTTCCTCCAGGATCTTCACTCCCCTCGACTGGCAGTCTCTTGGGGATGACCGTTTCATAAGAAGAGTAATATACAGGTCCTATGTCACAGAATGTACTTGGGAGAAAAATTAATAGTACCAAGATCCCTATTTTGACAGATGGGTGTCCTGGCACTAGTCTCAGACCCAAGTTCAACTGCTGGGCAGCCCAAATGTGAGATGTTATCTTAGCTTCCTTTAAGGCCACTTTGGTTATCTGTAGAGAAGACAGAATGGAGGTAATCCCTTTCACTGATGCCGCCACTGACATGGCCCAAAGAAACCGTTATGTAGGATCTATGTCCATCAGCGGCACTCCTCCCTGATAGGTTTTTCCCCCGACTCAGAAACCCAGATCTGTGCTTGTCCCTTGTGGGCTGCTGTCCATCTTGATTCTTACAGTCTTCAGGCTGTCTCTCTCTGTTCTTCCTTCTCTCCTGGGCCTCGGTGGTTATGGACAGTGCAGGGATTCCTTCAGTGTTGCTTAAGTTCCTTGATGTTCATGGAGGCGAGCCCTGTAGTCTGCAATGACTCAGCCAGTTCTGTAAGTCAGATCATCTTTCATTCTCTCCAGGCCGTGGACATGACATCTGTTATCTTGCTTATTCTTTTGGGCCCAACATTCTGGCAGGGTTGTGGGGGAGGGGTCAGAGCTTCTCAGGGTTCTCTGAACAATTAAGAATTCTCTGTTGTCCTGCCTCTTTCCTCATCCTAATAGTGGTCATACTTACTGGTGCTTAGTTCTCTTTTATCCATGACTGCTTTATCCCTTTCATTCAGGAGAATAGTATTTGGATGTTCTGCTTTTGCTCATCCCTTGTGTATGTACCTAATGAATTTTGACAGTTTACACCCACTTCGAACATGGTCCTTCTTTATGGAGTGCTTCTAAGGCATAAGTGTTAAATGGTCTCATTTTTACCACAGAAATGTATTAGAGCCTGTAATCTAGGTTAGTCCTCCCAATGGCCTCATCATAAAAATAAAATGGTAAGCCGGCCAGGGGTGGTGCACGCCTTTAGTCCCAGCACTCGGGAGGCAGAGGCAGG